TACTGAAGAGAAAAAGTCATTAGCCTCCACAAACATGGACACCGCATCATTCAGTTCATTCCTATATACCTCTAGGTGTCATTCTTCTATGCTACATTTTCATCTACCTCCCAGTGCACCTGACCAGCTGAAGAAGTTTTCTGTCTCCTTGCTACATAAATGTTTGTGATTCTACCAGTACTTATCTCATCCAGCATTCAGAGCAGCACAGAAGGAGCCACAGCAATCCCAGGTATCTGCCTGTAGCATCCCACATACTCAGCAAAGTACTGGTTTAAGTTTAAGCAGAAACAGGCACAACTCAAAACTCACTGCATACAAACTGAGTGTATCTCACTGTTGCAGACTAAGCACAGGGTGGAACAGATCAAACACAAGTTCAAGAGGAAAACCAAGAAATCTAAGATTACAAAGAGGAATAAAATACAGGAACCTAGATATAAAACTTACCTAAAAACGTCCAAAGCATTTTATAGTGAACTAGATCTGATCCATATTTCATTCTGGAATTATCTGTGGAAAGGTGCACTTTTCAAATGTACAACTCAGAGAAAAAAATAGTAGTTTTTGCACAGGCTTGGTCCAGGCAGCAAAAAAGAAACAAAAACTGGAGGCAATCCTAACCATGAAAGACAATGTCAGCTCTGAATCAGAGCAGCTGCTTCTTTATATACCACAGAGAACAAAATTATGTGAGCCAAACCCATAAAGCAAGAACTCCGTGCTTTAGGCTACTTAGTTAAACGTTGCTTCCCCCCACCAATTATTCTAGGGATCATAACAGACTAATTACACACAGGCTTATTCCAATTTATAGGCCTGTAAATTCTGAGACTCAGAACAAACTAATGAAACACCCACTCATCCATTCCCCTGCTCTTTATTATAAAATCTATAAAGTTTTGTGGCTGCACTCCAGCCAAGATGTAAACTTTTCTAAGGTTGTATATAAAAACATTCACTACCATCTCAAATCACTAGTACGACATCCTGCCACAAGTACAATGGCTGGTTTATTGTTGATTCAATTCATTCTTGGATGGTAATAAAACTGAATGTTTTGTTCAGAATATATTTCCAGCCATCTCTTTACCTATTTGTTTCATAAAGTCTCCCTTCATCATCGACTTGCAATCTTTATGCAGTTTCTTAGCAGTTACCTATCACAAGGCACAAAGGGCTTCCTAGCATAAATTAAACTTCTCCCTTTAAATACCCAGAATGCATCACTTTTTTCTTCCTATCCAATAACATGAGATCATTCTAGTAAAGATATAGGGACTTAAAATTGGTGCAACAAAATTGGCAATGCTAATATAAATCCCAGTATCTCTTTCCTCAGAAGAAATACTTCAGGAATTGAAAAAGCAAAAATAAACTACCATTCTTTTCCAGGAGTAACTTACTTCAAAAAAAAAAAAAAAAAATCACAGCAATCAAGAGGATAAAAGAAGAGAATTGTAAATTTTTCAGGACAAATTCTAACCTTTCAGTGATGGCCACTGCAGACTGAGAATGAAATTGTATGAGGTTCAAGGACACCAACAGCTTTTTTTTTTTTCCCTCTGCCTATCAGAAACAATTGCAACAGTGCTAGACTCCACAAGATATAGCAGGTAAGCGATAACGGAATGTCAGTGACAAAGGTCAGAATTAAAGGGCATAGTTTGATAATTGAGAAAAATAAGGATACACCTGGCCAAATATGCATATGAAGTTGAAGAAAAGTAGGTTACAGGAAGAAAATAAGAAATAAAAGGGAAAAGCTGTTTTCATGATATGGGACAGCAAGAGACAGAGTCAAAAAATGTATTCAAGCTTACAAGCCACTGAGCTACCGATTTCTTCAGAACATAAAGAACAATTCTCTGGGGAGAAGTCCATGTACAGCAGATAGCCACACCATCAGGAGTATCAACTTCTCCCCACACCTGATCCACCGCATCAGAAAGAGAAAAGGTATTGGTGTCCGTTAACTACTGCTAAAAGATATGAAGCAATATGAAACTAAGAAAAGTAAGTACGGTATCTGCCACACGCCTCTATAGGTGAAATTTCTGTGGGTATCCAAATCTCCCCTGGAAAATTTTATGGATACCAGGAATCAGAAAGACAGGGAGTGACTGACTGCTTTAAAAATTTGCACAGTGATTACAAACTACAAGGTTTACATATGCTTGCATCAAAATAGGGTAATCCTGAGGTTGATCATACAGCTTAGATCCCCTTCCAATAAAAGTGGCATGAATTCAAGTCTTATCTTTTATACAGGCACCATCAGGTCAGCCCTTTTGGGCTCCTAACTACAAACTACCATCTCCTCCTTTTCCAGCCCCAAAACATCTGAAGATCACAGTTGTGCAGAGGCACTAAAAATCAATAGTAAACTCAGTTTGTCTGAGCCTAATAATAAGGAAAGGAAAGCTCCATCCCTTGGGCATATAATGACATCACTGCCACTACTGTACCTCTCTGCTCCCACCAGAAATGCATCTTGTAGGCCTGCTCCTCTTCTTTCCATCAGTCCAGGCAGTTACTGCTGCAACACTCAAGAAAGGTGAGCCCTCTTAATAAGCAGCAGCAGTAAGAGTCTCAGGGCACTCTCACACAAGCCTGTTTTGCTTCACATGGCTATACCTAATGCTGGTGTCACTGCAACAAAGTTCATGTGGTGGACTTGGCAGTGTTAGGTTTACGGTTGGACTTGATGATCTTAAAGGTCTTTTCCAACCTAAATGATTCTATGATTCTATGTAGTCAGGCCTGAGCTAGGCCTAAACTAGCTCAGCAATACCAGCTGTGTAGCCACAAAAGCATTTAACTCACCAGCTAAGTACCTGACCTGGTTAGTATAGCACTAGCATGGGCAAACCTAGAAGCCCTTTAGTATAGGCATACACGATGTGGTCATATAATTGCAGGCTGGAAAGCATAGACTTACCATGTGGTAGTGTATGATGGAATATAGTAGTTTAGAGGGGGGCACAGTGGTCTGTAAGAGAACTTAACTGTTTTGTGGAAAACAGCAAAGATGCATAAACTTGAAGGAAGGAAATCATGTGTCATGGTTGCTCCTTGCTAAAAATGTTCCTGCAGTTACCCATTCAGGGAAAAATTCAATTGCCCTCTCTCTGTACTTGCTCTTTAACATACAGAAGGAACACAGTTCCCATTCTGACTTTTAATAAAGGGGTTTCATTACATTTTACTATACAAATAGTTTGTTTTCAAAGATAAATATTTCATATTAATGATTTACGAGCTCACTATGTCACTTAAGTTTTCTAATCAGTTTTAAGGATGTTTGTTTCTTTAAAAAGAATAAAGACTTCCTATCCTAAGTGGATAGATGTGAACAACACAACAGAGCCAAGGCCAATTCTCCTTGTGACTAAAGGAGGAAAATAGCTTTTGTTTACTGTATTTGTTGAAGGTTATATCGCTTGTTTTATGGAGGAGGAATAAAGTACAGAGACTTTGCCTTGCTAGCCAGCCCTGTGTTTGTAGTCTATGATCACACAGGATCAAGCAGAATCAGAGCAAAAAAAAGGCCTAGATAGCAGGAAACCAAAAATGTATAGCATAGCTACTGAAGGAGGCATTAATTCAGAACATTTAACTTGGGAAAAACAAGAAGTTCAACTCAATTTCCAAGCAGCTTAAATACTGCTCTGAAGTACAAGTGTTCAGTTTTTTCCATTTCACAGGGAATACCTAAGATGATGAACAGTGTGTATTTCGTTCCTTTTCTGCCTTTTTTTCTTTCAAGATTTCTCACATTTATTCAGAATTTTCACTTCCAAGGAAATTCCTGCTTCGTCTCTACCTTTGCTTCTTAGCTATTATGCTAATCCTGTATTTTAATAGTTACTGTTTCTCCTGTTGTTTCTGACATTTATAGATTTCATTACAGTTTGTATAATACTGATCACAAAATAAATTTTATATTTAAAGAAGCAAAGACCAGGTATTTAGTCAGGCAAAGAAACCAGAGACAAAAAAAAACAAAACACCCAAACATGGAAAAAGATATCATAGTTTGACTGGGTGTCTTTGAGCTTACAAGTAAAACCTGGGAACAGTCCAAATGCATTTGTATTGTTTCACAATCTATTTATAGATGCTGAGAATAGAAAAAGAGCACTACATTCCACATGTTTGTTCAGTCCCATAGACAAACCCTTATTACCATGCAGGCCCTAAATGAAGTTTAACAGAATTTCTGGAGGACTTGGGGTGCTAATTCAGTATTATAAGAGGACTTGCAACCTAAAGAAACATTGCTTATCGTTTCCTTGACTAACCTAATCATTATAGTCATATTCAACAAACAGAAAACCGTGCAAGTTTGTAGTTAATGTTTGCCAATTGCTATGGAAAAAATGGTTAAGCAAACTGGTTTTGTTCACTTGGGTTTTGGTGCATTGAGAATTAAAAGATCTGTATTTAAGAATAACTGCAATGACTTGACTTTATAGCAGCTACATGCACATGTGTGCACCCATTTGTCACTGGAGAAGTGCAACAGACATGTCAGGACGGGTGGATATAGTCACTTCTGAAAGATATGCAGTTATGTTATTCAAACTTGGGTAATTAGAGACAGGTAGATAATTCACAAAGTAGAATTTATGACAGACCATGTTACAGTTTTTGGTACAAACCTGTCAACGAAACATCATTTGAATTAGAGTTCTTGTTTTACATTCCTTCTTTTTCTTAATTCATCAAAACAAGTTATGGTTATTAATAATGACATTCCAAAGAGACACTGCGCCTAGGTTTGATGATTTTTGTTTCCAAGAAAACCTATGAAGTGCTGCGGATAAAAAAGAAAACCACCTTATGATGTCACATCAATAGTTACTCATTAACTGATTTTAAAAACTAGCCTGAGCTGGAGTCACATCAAGACAGCACTTCCTACAGCAGTGAAAGGCTGTGCGTTTGAAGGATCGCTCTAGAACTGAACTTACCTGACAGCAGTTAACTCCATTAAAATGATGAGAAAAGGGAATTCCTTGGAGGACTCCGTTTTTCATTCTGAAAGTCAGAACAGCTTCCAGAAGTCAAGTAATGACACTTCAGTCAGCCCTACAGAGAGTTTCGGATCAGTATTTATAAGGTAAACCCTGATGTATTTGAGTGTTCTGTATGTATTTGATGCTGGGGGCGACAGGGCAGCAACAGAGGAGGGCACTGGGACAAATACACTGGTGAAAATACCCTGAAGAGGAAGCTTAATATGAGAAGGCAATGCATGCAGAGATGATAACTTTACTCATGTTACTGATTGCACTGGGAAGTGCTACTGTAAAAGAGAAATTTTTAAGGGAGGACAGGAGGGTGTTGTTCTCTATTTCCTTATCTATTACACTGAAGTAGGGCTTTGAATGTGCATAGCACTGTACACTAATAAATTCAAGTCTTAAAATGACCTCTGAGAGGTCATCTGATACCATCTATGACATTTGAGTGGATCTCTGCACAAAACAAATGTAAGCTTTGTTAGAACAAGGAATTTAACAAAATATTTTCATGTGTTTTTTGGCCCATATGGAACTTTACAATACTTATTAAATTATGTTTCAAGAGAAATGCTGCCATAATCACAAGCAGTATTCATGGAAGTTGAATGCTTGCATGAATGAATACTGCTAAGGGTTTGTTGATAGAACAATCACAAACAATTTTTAAGGGGAAATCTGTTTTCTTACTTTGGAAGGGTGGACTTGTTGGATTATGGACTCACATTGAGGTGGAATTCATTGTAATGAAGAGTTCTGGCTAAATCATGCACATTTTAGCATACATAAATGAGGGAAGGCAGTGTCAGAGGGTTACTGGCACTTACCGCTTATCCTTCCCCATCTACTGCAGGAGAGAGACAAGTAAACATCCATAGTACTTATGTCAACCCATTATGAATAAAATAGCTTTAAAAAGCTATTTAAAGTAGCTTTAGACATTTATTGGTCTTAACAAACTTGAAAATTCTTTACCAAGCACTGTTCTTAATATTAGCTCAGTGCCCAGCCACCCAGAAGAGTGATTTGGGGGGAGCACCTCTACATATTCTTCATGTGACTACTAGTCATGTGACTATAGCTTGTATTTCTTTGTAGCTGTGCACAAATTCTTTATATGGGGTGGCAGCTCATATCACTAATTGGGTCACAAGTATAAATAAGTCTGCTGGCCTCATTTTTCCTCTTTTGAAATGTTATTAGGGCTTTTTAATATTGTATCTGCATAACTTCCCTTCTTCCAGCTCAAATGTCAGAGAGATAACGTCCAACAGTTTGACCAGAGAATAAGGAATCAGAAATTTTAATTAGAGCTCTCAAAGGCTTTTACCTAGAACTAATCACTTAGAGCCTGTTTTTTAAAACAACGTCCACATGTGTTTTTGTATGCCTCTCGATCTCATTTTCCGATTAGGCATGGGACATGAGTACATACAGTGGCGTATGCAGGGTTCAACACAAGTAGGTGATGTTTAACCACTTCTAATTGGGGCAATAGAAAGTTTGCCTTCTTTTCTCCGTCCAGCCCGGAACACTGGGCAGAGAGATTTACCTACTTTTTTTATTTACCACTAGATAACCAGTACGCAAAAAGCTACCATATATGCTCTGATAGCAATGTGATCAGCCCTTACAAAGAACAGAGTCCTTTGCCTCAGATTTCTCAATAATCAACCTGCCTGCCAAGTAGTGAGTTGCAGGGGCAGGCCTTCTAGAAATCCAGTTTACCCAATTGCTGTTTCGGTAATATGATTATAAAGCCCTGCTGTGAAACTATACCTCTATCAATAGCAAAGATGGAATAGCAGGCTGCAAATAAATACTAGACAATCTCATAAGAAGAATGCATGATTGCACACAATGAGCAACTAGCTGGGCTGAGCTCTCACCAAACATGCTTTTCATGTGTTTGTCACAGTCATGATACACTTACCCAAAATGAGCCACATGAAAAATCAGGGAAAATGCTTTCGGGAAAAAGAAGTGCACGCTCTGCATTTTTAGATACTATTTTCAATACAGTCCTATTTACTTAGAGCATATTTCCCATATATGAAGATGCATCCACAGAGAAAATTTACTATCTTAATGATTGCTCTTGTTTATCCTAATTATTCATGCCTCAGGACAAAAACTGACTATAATGCCTAAGTTTTTATATACCTCTGTTTTCACCTCACTGTAATTGGCACCATGTGGATTCTGGCACAAATTTGCCAGAATCCAGGGGGTTATTAACATTTCAGACAGGGGAGCTCACAGTTTATCACCATGGCAGCATGTTATTCCTGATACAGAGCGGAACTGATTTCAGAAGCAAATTAAGACTCTGGAGCTATAGCTGAGGTGTCAGCCATGCATAGTAGATCAGAGATTTGTATTGATAAGTATTGTGTATGCAGCATTTTATCAGCATGAAAGCATAGAGTTGTTGACATTAGAACCAAACATTTTCCAGCAGTCCAGATCAAAATATTGGCAAAAACAGTAGGGTTCTCAGCCTCTCCTTTGGAGCCCATCCCTATAATGTGAGTCAATACCCTGCATCCAGGTCTCCTAAACTTTATAAAAATCTCAAGCCATGTGGTTTTGACCGATCTTCAGAATGACCCTGAAGAAAATACATTGAACCCAAGAGAATGCGATTTTTAAGCAATTTAGATCAGAACTACTGACCACCAGCTCTGTGAATGTCATACTACTACATGTTAACATCAACCCTAGCAACAATCAAATGCAGGTTGTATATCAAATGCTTGTAAAAAAAACAAAAGTGAAGATTCAGCATTTGCCAATAACATTGATACTAGGTAAAAATTATAAATAAAAAAAAAACCACAAAAGAAGTACAGTATGGAGAGGTATGTTTTCTAAATGCAAAGTCATGGAAATGGAAGTCAAAAGGGTCCTGAACTCTAATCCTGGCTTGGCAGCTCATTTGGTGCATTGCAATGCGTAAATCAATTAAATACAATACTTGCATTTTCCATCTGTGATCTCACATTAACATTTACCTATCTTTTGCATATAGCAGAATAACAGAAAAACTGTATAACAACTTGTAACATAAAATGTAAAGATTGTTTTGTTGCAGTTGGGTTTTTGTTTGGACACAAGAAGGGATCTGTACATTCAGGTTTTCTCTCTGAAGATTTTTGGATAGGAATGTGAACGTTTTTTAAGGAAATTTACTTCTGCATTGAAATTATACCCCTCAGAAACATCCAATGCACTGCTGTAAGGCCGAGGCTTAGTTCAGACTAATCCAAGCAGTCATGTTAGAGAGATAAACACATATCTACCATTGTCTAAAAGGTGTATTGTCTTTATAGCTCAATTATGAACACCTGAAACACTGGCAACCACTGTACTGCTCAAAGGCTTGCACCTGGGATTTGGCATTCACCCTACGTGGCCTTGCTATGCAAGACATATCTACGGGGTTTTTTTTCCCCCAGAGTAATATAGCTCCTAGTTCTAAATAAGACAAAACAGTAAGTCTATCTGACTCAGTAGAATAGCTTATTATTCACAAGCCCATCTGATGTAAAGACTGTGAGACAACTGATAGCATGATTCATTCTTTCACATTATCTTGCATCCCTCACTTTAACCTTCCTCTCCTCAGAGTAGAACAATCCTTTCCTAAGCTCCTGGAAAGTCTAGGCACTATTTCTTCTTGTGGAAGATTCACCGTATCCTCAAAGAAACTGTGCTAACTTTCCCTTTCTTACATACTTAACATAATATATTGCTGCTCTTCAGAGACTGCCAGATGACTAAAGGTTTCTCTGAACAAAATGATCACCATATTTAGATATACCATGAAAGTTTGCATGCGTGCATATCTTGTTCAAAGAGGTATCCATGTATAATCCTTTATGATACACAGATTCAATAATTACACACATGCATGCACATTATTCATTAGATGCACGTAATCTGTTTGATGTCTTAAACATACTGGTGCACCTGGATTGAAATTTTTGTCCGTGTAATCTGTATACAGTGATGTCACACTTGGATGTCACCCAGGATTTCCTTTGGACTTTTATAAGCAGAGGGCAACAAATCAAGCTAAGCTGGTCCACCGGGATAGAACAAGCAATATTTGTATTTATCTTTTCCTGCCTAGCTGGCCAATATATTAAATGACAGTTATAAATGCTACAGGTCACCCAACCAGGAAAAACGAGCAGATGAGGCCCACTATAGACAGATAGGAGCAGCCTCATGTTCACAAGCCCTGGTCCTCATGGGGAACTTCAACCACCACAATCTGTTGGAGGGACAACGCAGCAGGGCTTAAGCAATCCGGGAGGTTCCTGGAATGCGTTGATGATAACTTTCTTCTCCAAGTGGCAGAGGAGCCAACAAGGAGAAGTGCTATGCTGGACCTTGTTCTCACCAGCAAGGAGGGGCTGGTGGGGAATGTGAAGCTCAAGGGCAGCCTGGGCTGCAGTGACCACGAGTTGCTAAGCCACTATCCATCATATTTGAGAAGTCGTGGCAGTCCAGTAAAGTTCCCACTGACTGGAAAAGGGGAAACATAACCCCCATTTTTAAAAAGGGAAAAAAGGAAGACCCGGGGAACTACAGGCCAGTCAGTCTCATTTCTGTGCCTGGGAAGATCATGGAGTAGATCCTCCTGGAAGCTATGGTGAGGCACATGGAGGACAGGGAGGTGACGTGACAGCCAACATGGCTTCACTAAGCGCAAATTGTGCCTGACAAATTTGGTGGCCACCTATGACAGGGTTACAGTGTTGATGGGTAAGGGAAGAGCAATTGACGTCATCTACCTGGACTTGTGCAAAGCATTTGACACTGTTCCACACGACATCCTTGTCTCTCAGTTGGAGAGACATGGATTTGATGGATGGACCACCCGGTGGATAAGGAATTGGCTGGATGGCCACATTCAAAGAGTTGCAGTCAACAGCTCGATGTCCAAGTGGAGACCAGTGACGAGTGGTGTTCCTCAGGGGTCAGTAGTATTGGGACCAGGGGTGTTCAACATCTTTGTCAGCAACACGGACAGTGGATTGAGTGCACCCTCACTCAATCCTGGTGTGGTGGTGTCTGCCAACACCACCAA